CCAAAAAAAAAAAAAAAAAAAAACTGAACTAAAGTTTAAAAGCTACCTATAATCAAAGAAAATCAGGAAAAGAATTTTGTTTGTAGGAAAGCAAAGCAGTTCAAGAAACTTTACTGGCCTTAATAATTATCTTTAGCTTGGGCTGGGGATGTGGCTCAAGTGGTAGTGCGCTCGCCTGGCATGCATGCGGCCCGGGTTCGATCCTCAGCACCACATACCAACAAAGATGTTGTGTCCGCCGAGAACTGAAAAATAAATAAATGCCTTTAGGGCAAGATTATTGGGAAATTTCATTAGTTTTCTGTTTCTGTATTATTTCACCTTTTACTTTCCTTATATCTGAGAGCTTAACCCCACTTCAGACAACCCAGGATATATTTTTTTAAATATTTATTTTTTAGGGCTGGGGCTGTAGCTCAGTGGTGGAGCATTTGCCTCACACATGTGAGGCACTGGGTTTGATCCTAAGCACCACATGAAAATAAGTAAATAAAGATATTGTGTTCATCTACAACTAAGCAATATTTTTTTTAAATATTTATTTTTAGTTGTACTTGGACACAATACCTTTATTTTATTTATTTATTTTTATGTGGTGCTGAGGATCGAACCCAGGACCTCGCATGTGCTAGGTAAGGGTTCTACTGCTGATCCACCACCCCAGCCCAAACCCAGGAGATTTTAAAGAGAAGAACCTGTATCAAATGGATATGAAGGTATCAATTATTTTACATTCTAGAAAGGTTTTCAATTGGTTGATTATGGACAATTTAGGTTTTATAACCACATTATCAGTGTTTATTTGCCTTGTCCTTGATTGTGAATTCCATGAGTGCAGTAACTGTCCTATCCTATCCTGTGCTGAAATGCCAAGAATCTTGTGGATGATTAATATATATTCATTGATAGCAATAAAAAATCGAAAAAGTGATGTTCATTCCATCCCAGAGCCCTTCCTCTGAGTTATATTTAGAATCACAGATTTAGTAAGGTCATTACACAAGAAGATCTTCAGCCTGATTCTTCATCTGTAAAATACAGATAATAATACCTCCCCACAAAATTGTTTTGAGGGCTTGGGGCTTTTTTCCTGTTTTGTTTTGTTTGCAGTGCTGGGGATCAAATCTAGGGTCTCACCCATGCTAGGCAAGTGCTTTGCTACTGAGCTACATCCCCAGCCCTGTTTTGAGGTTTAAATGCGTTAACCATGTATAGTGTCAAACTGCTTACTTACAGTTTCCAGAATATGCTATGCTGCTCACTGCTTCCAAGTGTGTGTCTGGAACACTGAGCCTGGATTAGTCATTCCCCTTTTATCTACACAGCTACACCTTGCCTCTTCTATTGTCTGGCAATTGCCTGTTGTTTGTTTGGTTTTGGTTTGGGGTTTTTTGTTGTTGTTGTTTGTTTGTTTGTTTGTTTTTGTACCAAGGATTGAACCCAGGGGTGCTCAACCACTGAGTCATATCCCCAGCCCTCTTTATGTTTTTTCTTTTAATTTATTTTGAGACAGGATCTCACCTCACTAAATTTCAGAAGCTGCTTTTGTACTTGTGATCCTCCTGCCTCCAATTCCCAAGTCACTGGGATTACAGGCATGCACCAGTGCACTCAGCTGCCTGGTCCTCCATAAGGACCAAATTCAGGCATTAATTTATGAAGCCTGCCTTAGCCCAGTAAATAGTAGCTAGATATGCTTACTTAATGTTGAACAAGTGAGTATGTGGACCCAAGCAAGTGCTAAGTATACATTTGTTTTCTCATCACTACCCACTGTTCTGCTTAATCCCACAAATCCCTCTTTAAGTTACCTGTTTAATGCTGCTAATTGCTCTTTTCTTCTTAAAAACATTCTAAAGTCAACTGGATAGAGATAAATAATCCTTCTGTGGAAAAGGGAATAATAATGCACTTTACAAAAACAATAGAC